AGAGAGAGAGAGAGAGAGAGAGAGAGAGAGAGAGAGAGAGAGAGAGAGAGAGAGAGAGAGAGAGAGAGAGAGAGCGGTCGTGGAGTTCAAGCCGCAAGAAGACTGCAGGAGGGCAAAGAGTCAATGAGGACATGTTGCATTTGTTATTAGTAATTTATCATGTCCTTATATTTTACAATAATACATAAATTAATAGTTAAAGAAGATATACATGGCTTTGCTAGCTGGCTGGAACGGTTCTCCGGTTAGGTGTTTACAGCGGCAGTGGTCGGGATCATCATTAGGTCGGGATCATGCTGTTCCTTGATAGCCAGCGGTGTGTCTGTGTCTGGATGGGTGGAGGTGGGTGGGTAGGTGAGTCTGCCTTTTGACGGTAGGGGGTGTGTATATGGTGGGGGAGGGTGTGGACTGTCTTTTGATGGTGGTGTGTGTGTGCGTCGGGGGGATGGGTTGGCAGGGTGAGGGGTATGTGAACCTACCTACAGTCTGTAAAGTCTTCCGTGTGGTGTGAGTGGGTGGGTGAGGGGGGTGATTAGCCTGTGCCCTGATTTTTGTCACGGATACTGTATTGGCAGTGGTTGGTAACCCACCTGGTAGCGTCTATTGGCCCCCCGAATAGAATGCACGGTCGCTATAGCTGTATTTGGGGCAAATTTCAGTCCTCATAACAGCGATAATGTGTGCATTCTAATCGGGAGAAGACGGTAGCGTGTCAGGCGCGGGAGACGTGTTGATGTCAACCTGGAATTGGGGTTAAGGTTGGAGGAATTATCGTTTCAAGCATAAGATTAATATTTAATCGACTAGTAATTAGTAATTACCTAATTACTAATTAATATATTGCGAATATAATCAAATCTGTTTGGTTCGGGGGGGGGGGGGGGTGTCTTCAGACTGTGGAGGAGAGTTTTTTAATCCTGATTGATGTTTCGGTGAATTCTACGAAACAGTTCGTTGTCACGTTCGACGAAACAGTGTGTGTTCTTCCCCCTCTCTGCCCACGGTTCAACCGCCACCTAAGGGTATCTATCAGTTGTTGGCCAGTCATTGATGCTTAACTGCAGCCGGGGGTAAGGAGGATTATGACTTTCAGTATCATTATGGGTGTAGAGGGTTCAGCCTCCTGATGAGTCGGCGAAATTCCGACGAAACAGTGTCTCAGCCGTAGGCAGAGAGGGAGAAGAGGACAGCAAACGAGGGCTGTGACAGACTGTTTCGTCGGAGTTTCACCGACTCATCAAGAGGCTGAACCCTGTCTTTTTGACGATGGTGGTGTCCCAGTATTTCAGTTTAGACCAGCGAAGCATACGGCGAAACCATATGGATAGAGTGCCTACGCTGGCGAGCACGAATGGTTTGTTATCTGGGATTTCTTTTGCAGGCAAGGGTGTTTTGATATCCTGGTTGGTCTTGTCCCGTCGTTTGGCCTGTGAGGGTGGGGGCGGTGCTTGCATGTGGGACTTGTCATCTAGGATTTGTTTATGCTTGTTTCCCCTTTTTTTGTTATATGCCTCTTTCTTTGCCTATGTGCCTTTTGGCTGTGTGCAAGTGGGTCGATATGACACACGGGGGTGGGGGCAGCCGCCGCTCAATGTACATCCACGTGGGCGGCCTTGTACGCAAGAGGTTCTGAACAGGGGGAGTTGTAAGGAAGAAGATAAAAAACGAATTGATTTTTTTTTTTTTTTTCCTTCTGTCTTTTTGGCCTTTGCGCTCTGATATCTCTGTGACGATATATATATTTGTTATCTGGGATTGTTTGTTTGCAGGCAAGGGTGTTTTGATATCCTGGTTGGTCTTGTCCCGTCGTTTGGCCTGTGACGGAGGAGGCGGTGCTTGCATGTGGGACTTGTCATCTCGGATTTGTTTATGTTTGTTCCACCTGTTTTGTTATATTTGGCTGTTCCCTTCCTCTTTCTTTGCCTCCTTGCCTTTTGGCTGTGTGCAAGTGGGTCGATATGACACACGGGGGTGGGGGCAGCCGCAACTCAACCTACACCTACGTGGGCGGCCTTGTACGCAAGAGGTTTTGAACAGGGGGAGTTGTAAGTAAGAAGATAAAAAATGAATTGATATCTTTCTTGTTTCTTTTTGTTTTTTCCGCTTTTGCGCTCTGATATTTTTGTGACGATATATATACTGATTTTGATTTGAGCGTACTCCATAAGATATATCGATTTAAACATTACGATTTTTTCTTTTTAAATTGCCTCAATGAGTAGGACCGGGACCAGGGGCGCAGTTCCCCTAGCAAAAGAGGATTGATTTAAGAGCCTGAGGGCATACCCACACTAAGACTTTCCTGGATGTATCTGACTTGAATCAAGGACGCATCTGACCGCAATTACGTTTGGAGTTCAGTCTAAAAAGTTCTAGTGTGAGTATGCCAAAAATTGCCTCAATGAGTAGGACCGGGACCAGGGGCGCAGTTCCCCTAGCAAAAGAGGATTGATTTAATATCTGACCGCAATTACGTGTGGAGTTCAGTCTAAAAAGTTATAGTTCCCTGAATCCGGATCTTGAATAGTGCAGACATGACTGATCGAGTTTGTATGAAGCACCATTAACAGAAGTGCATGTCTGTTGTCCGCTCTCTGTCCAGGAAAGGACCTGGGTTGACTGTCCCCCCTCCTGTGACCTTCATTGGCTCTACCCTCCCCTTACTCTGACCTGCGTTGACTC